AAGGAGTTAATGACATAGAATTGTCTACTATTTAGATTTAGCCCCTAAAGTCCTATCTTTATAATGTAACAATTAATGCTAATAAGTTATGATATAGGATACAAAATTAATGGAACTTAATTAATTTATGCCATAGATTATCAATTCTATTCACACTTCCAGATCTAATAAGCTTATTTTACCCTGATAGTTGCAATTTGTTTTTTTTGTCAATTTGAATTTTGAAAAGTTTTTGAATTAATGATTATATATATATATATATATATATATATATATATACATTATATATTTTGAATTAATGATACATTTTACTCATTTTTACAACATAATACTTTTAAAGAATCTTTCATAAGTCTCTATTGCAACTTAAGAAGGTGGAAGTATGCACACAAAAATTCTAAATTTAATAAATAATGATCAGGTTTCACTACAGTTATTTATAGAAGAGAGAAAAATCCAATATGATGCAAATAACATTATAATATTTTTACTATGATAAAACACCTTCCAAATGATAATCAACTGAGTTTCTATTGAAACAAGAAGTAATGTCACAAAGTCTTGTAAATTTTAAGTGACTATTATTCATAATAAATAGTCAAGCCATGCAGATTTTCAACATAGAGTAATTATAGAGATAGATTTTTATCAAATGGTTTTCACGTACATATGAATTAAAAGAAAATTTTAATATCTTGATAAATGTACTAGAAAATTAATAAAAGTTATTAAATCCCATTTGAATTGAAATGTTCTGAAGCTTTGTGACCTATATTTAATCTTGTTAAAAATTTTTCCACTTAAAGTAACATAGCATGGACTTTTTATATAATAAGGGCTAAATATATGTTTCCAAATTTTTTCATTTTTTTTAAACGTACGTGACAATTTGCGAGTTGTTTTTGTTTTGTTTTGTTTTGTTTGTTTGTTTGTTTGTTTATTTGTTTGTTTGTTTTTTTTTTTTCTGCCTTCTAACTTACTAAGATTGCAGGACACAGGCGGGATAGATTATGAACCCACTTAGTGTAACTAGCTAGATGCAGTTTGAATAAAACCTTCTCACAATCAACAACACGGTTTCCAGAAGATTTGTGCTTTTAATGTACTATTAGTAAATCCTGATGTTTTGCTTCTAAATTTCTTCAATTTTAAGCTCTTTGGAAGCATAAAGTGCACATCTTTACCACAATTAATATATGTATATATATATATATATATATATATACTCACAGTTTTTTTTTGCATGCCAAATTTCACAGGAAGGATTCAATAACTGGTAAAGGAAAGAAACTTTAAATGACATAAATATTCAAAACTGAAAATGGGATTAGTTAGTTGCATAAGGTGAGTCCCAAAATTTAATTTTATTTCTAAAAACATTGTTCATTGAATAATATACTGTGGGTCTGGAAATCATTTGCAATGCTTGGCAATGCAATTTAATGTTGAATATTAGGGTTTTTTTTGGACCTTTGAGGATAGGAAAAAATAGACTTTACCTTGTGTGACAGAGAAAAACCTTGTCTAAAATTCAAAAAGGATATTATTGGACATTTAGGACATAAAATAAACAGTGTTGTTATAATATTGAATACTCCTGATGCAGAGAATAAATAAATAAATATATATATATATATATATATCGAGAGAGAGAAAGAGAGAGAAAATTATAACCATAAAATTGAAACACTCCAATTAGTTATAAATTCCTCAAATGTGCTTCTTTTGAAGAATCTATTTGAAGAGAGAAATAATTTTCATATTTTTTCATAATTTTTATTTTATTTATTTATATGAAATAAAAATGTTTGATTATATCAGAAACTCATCCTTGTTGAACAACAAATTCACAACTCATTTTCTTGATTTTTCCTGATTAAAAAAAAATATTGTAAATTAAAAATCATAATAAGATGAAATGAATGTTATCATAGATAATTTTTTCCCAAATCTGCATGGAGAATGAATCATGCTCTGGACGCTTCAAAAAAAAATAACAAAATAATCATAAATGATTGATAATATGAATAAATGATAAAGTTAACTAAATATTTAATTAAAATTGAAATAGATTATTGTGATAATTATCAATCTTTACATTTAACATTATATTTTCATTTGTTTGTTGTTGTTTTGTAATGTTTGTTTGGTTTTTTTCTTATTCATATGTGACTGTAAATAAATAAACATATATATATATATATATATATATATGGACATAAACACATTTTTCCATGAGAGCACCATGAATTTTGATAGTGAAGAGAACCACAATGTTGTGTCATACTGTGTCTAAAACTAGTAGTAGTAAGATGACAATCTAGCTGTGCAACCTGTTGTTTTTATACAAGAGAATTATTCATGATATGGTCAACTTTGGGAACTTTACATGAAGTAAAGTTAATGCCCTTGGGGAACAAAAATGCCTCAGGCTTGGTGGCAAAGCTGCGCCATTGTATAGCAGAGAAAATGCTGACAGTGAATGATACTACACATAATTGGGATGTACCCCAAAATAAAAACATCTATCTATTATCCTCAGTTCTCATTTTATTTATCCATTTCATGTTTTCACTTCTTTTTTTTATCTTATTTTTATGCCTTTGAATTTATTATTTTTGGTATTCTTCTTCTTCTTCTTCTTCTTATTATTATTATTATCATTTCTCTCTTCAACCCCCTCCTCCTTTGTCAGCAATAAATGAGCACCTCCACATGTATACTACACATACACTGTCTTCTGCTTCTCCCCCTCTCTTTTAGTCTTTAATATTCATCTATCTGGTATATTAATTTGTATTTACATTGATTTGGTTTGGATTACAAAAATTCTTTCACAGAATGAAAAGGGAAGGTCCACTCAGATGGGCAGCTCACTTACCTACACTACTACTAGTCTTGTGGCCTATCTCAACAGCAGATAAGTGTTCTCTCCCTATCTCATTCAAACACATACCTTAAATCTGGACACTTTTGCATTCATTAATGTCCATTAAATACAACAGTGTTTTCACTGTTTGTGGCAAGAAATGAAAGAAGAAGCAAAAAGAAAAAAAAAAAAAGAAAAACATGTGAAATGTTTAAACATATAACTTGTGAAGGCAGAAAGGCACAAAATTGTTAATGCACATATTGAATGCTGCATATGAAAAGGGGACTAAAAAGAAATCAAATGTGGCTATGTGTTCATCCACTGTAGGGATACATAGACTGTTGTTTGGTGTGCTTTGATTTTGTGGAAACTTTCTGCTACTTTCAAAGTTACATAGACAACAGAGAAAGTGAAATAAAAAAAAATTCAAAAAAGGAAAACATTAGAAACCTACTACACATGAAATTATTCTGTGTGAGAAAAAGAAGATGGTATGTCCAATTTTAGTACATTAAGCTTCAGCGTGGACTGCTTCTGTTGATTGCTTCACTTGCAGTACCACACAAAATGATTACAAAGTTGTTGAATTGTCATGTCAGAATCAGATTGTTTATCTTTTGTTTTTTTTTATTTTCCAACATGCTGTCAATTTGCAAGCTTTGACTCAAAAACCAAGTATGAAATCTTTCCAAAAAGATGAACTTCAGGCTATCCTCTCTTTCTTTTTGGCAATAAGAGGGTACACCACCAAATTGTTTTGCTCATAAACATAACGATTTGAGGATTAAAAAATAACTCTCACAGCTTTAATCCACATTCCCCATGGAAGTTTTTGGGCAGAAAAGAAGCAAGAAAGAATGGATGAGATGAAGATCAAAACCCATCCTCAGGGAACATTACGTCACAAATACACACTCAGATGTTTGATACATTCAGAGAAGTGAATCAAGACACAAAACAGCAAGTTCTATGAAGCCAACAAAGCCTGGTCAAAAATTCAGATACATCATATCAGTCAACAAAAGCCTGAGAGACTGTTTTGAAAAAGTGGGGAGTAAATGAAAGTTGTTTAGCTGCAAAAGTCAAAGGAAAGATCCATGAACCTCAACTCTAAACAGAGTCAATTAATGGCCGAGGTCAAGGATTTGTTCCTCTTCAAATCCCAGCCAGTCAAGATGATGCATCCAACAAAGGATGTATCAGAACCCCAACCTCTTTCTTTCTTTCTTTCTTTCTTTCTTTCTTTTTATTATTCTATTGGAAACAGAGCTGGGTCTGTCAAGTTGGGGACAGAGATGAGAATTGGCAGCAGACAAAGTGGATCCTGGGGATGGTGGAATGAAGTGGAAGTGAAGGGAAGTGAAATGAGAGACCTAACGTTGGAATACCTTACATTGTCAACTTGAGGTTTTTCAGCTTTTTTTTAGTATTTTTTGGGTATTTTTTTGTTATTATTATTATTATTATTATTTTTTGGAGAAATAAGGTTCTTACGTGTGCTAGAAGGAAAAAAGAAAAAGAAATGAAAAGAAAATTGAATTGCAACAGTGGTCGAATTGATAAAAAATTCAAAGCAACTTTTGCATTTTACCCCTGAATTGAGTCCTAGACTTTAGCAAAACTGTGCACTTCCATCACACAACTGCACCCTTCATCTTTGTAAAGTTTGCCGAACATTGGTGGGTTTAGAATGTATTTGGAATCTTTCCACAGGAAAATCGGGCAGTTTTGGATTTGTGCAAGGGCGGTTTAGGTATGGTCTACAGGTTGGTTCAGGGGCATGACATGGTTTAAGGTATTTTGATGTTAAATGAGAGACCCAGTTGTGGAAAGAACTGAGAACGAAAATGAAAGTGAATGAGAGAGAAAATAGGGTTAAAGAGGGAGGGGAGGGGGTTATATGGGAGTATGGCCAATGAAGCATTTCAAGAGGGGCAGGGCACACAGAGCCTCACGTGCTGGCCTTGTGAAGTATGGGGCAACAGCTGAATCGCGGGTTTAGCCCCCTCCCCGGTCTGGTCCGACCCGGTGTGACTCGCTCCGTCCCGCCCGACCCGCGCCCGGGGGTTGGCAGTGGAGGAGTGCGCGAGACAGTACTAAGCAGAGGCGACACCACAAGGGACCTCCATAGCAATTGGCCGCAAACAAGCACCTCTCTCCGCAATTCAGTAAAGGGTCCTGCTTCTGCTGCTGCCAGCGTCGTCGTCCTCGTTCTTAACATTCCCCACCCCCCGTACAGCAGAAGATCAAATTCCCCCTTGTAGTCAGTCTAGTTAGTAGTAGTCTCTCCTTACTCGCATGTTCTGCTGCTGCTGCTTACAGTTTCCTCCTCATCCAGGTTGGCGAAAGTGTTCACTCTGGTGCACATTTTTATGCTTTTTGCTTATTTTCTCCTGGTCTGGCGCCTTCCATTCGCAACGCAAGCAGTCAATTGAGGGAGAATTTCAGACCGGTACTGTTGCTGGGTAGTGGATTTTTGTACCAAGGTGGAAGCCTTAGGTTGTTAGCATTTTGGTTGAATTGTGAAGGGTGAGGAGGAGGGGTGGGGGGAAGGGAAGGAAGGAGAATTGTGGATAGCAGGTGGTTGTGTCTGAGGGGGCCAGAATTGGGGATATGATCGGGAATTTGGGGAAGGAGATTCACTGCCAGCGTGGGTAGCAGCTGTAGTTGAGGAACTTCGGTGGGTGTGGTGAAGTTTGCGGTGAGGAGGAAGGAGGAGTGAGGTGGGGAGAGGAGGAGGAGCGAAGAGGAAGGCAGAGTGTGAGTGCGTGGGCGCGTGACATAGGAGCAAAAATAAAATACGAGAATGGCATTCATGGCACCGGCACCGGATCAAGCAACTCCCTTCAGCGGGCTTGCGAGAAGCATGAGCATCCCGGCATCGTTCAATAGTGCGGCCATGTCGCCAACAGAGTCCATGAACTCGCTGTCCAGCTTGGAGAAACAGCTGATGGACCAGCCTGGGGGTAACGTCGTGCATAGCAGCGCGCCGGCTGGGGGCAGGTTCTCCAGGTCGGCTACGACTAGCCCCACCACGAACTACTGGGGTCATGCCACGGCGGCGGATATGCAACAAATCCTCGGTGGGTCGGCGTCTGCGACACCTCAGGAGCTGCTGGGATCAGGGATGGCAAGTAGCGACTGGCAGCAGCTGCTAGACGCGAAATCGTCAGCGTACAAGTATCCGCCTCCGGTGTCCATGGCGCCATCTCTAGCGCGCGGGACGGTTATGGAGAATGCTAAGATCAGAGAATTGCTGACAGGAAGAGTTGGAGGTGCTCCAGCCGCTCACAAATCGTGGAGCCCCTTGGACACGGTTGCGGCGGGGATTACAGTGGACCCGTCGAAGGGTGGTCTTGCATTGCAGGGAGTGGGACTCGCAACGTCGCATTGCTTGGCTCAGTTCACGTCGGATCCTGCCTTCGCTGAGCGCGCGGCGAAATTCTCTAGTTTTGGAAATGGGAAGTACCCACAGATCGCGTTGCCGTTGCCTATCAACGACGCGCATTGTAAGCCGCGGTCGCGATCCAGCGAGAGTAGTAGTAGGCTTTCTAGAACTTCGAGCAACCAGAATTCGGGCGCGACGAAGAAGCTGGCCGCAGCAGTCGTAGCTGAGATGGAAGAGAAATCTGCTGCTTCGGTTCGGGCAGCTTCTACAGCAGCAGAGGTATCATGTAACATGGACGTGGACGGTGTTGGTAGCAACGACAAGAGCCCGTCTCGCGCTGCGAGTGTGCCCGAGTTGGAAGCCATTGAGGGAGCAAGCTTGGCCACCATGGACAGAACCCATGAGCAGGTCGAAGTAGCAGCAGCACGGGAAACTAATTCCTGTTCTGTTACGGAACAACATCAAGCAAGCGCTGCGTCGCCTGCAAGATCACCTACTGGAAGCGATGACAGTGATCGTCGCAAACGGAAGCAATCACCTGCTGACAAGTCCGACGTGGACTGTAAGGTCCGTAATGTTATTCTCCTTGCCACGTCCTGCTTCTCCTTTGTCTCATTCAGTCTCCAGAATCGTTCCGTGCGACTTTAGGAACTATCTCCTCCACTTGCACAAGAACTCGAGAGCTTTTGTCACAGAATTGGTTTAAGGCGGTTGTGTTTGGTATGTGCATGTTCTTCGAGTTCCCCTGTTTCTTCGTGGTGGGTTTTTATAAACCATGATCTCATTGCCTGGGATGATGCTGCGCAATGCAGGTTGCAGATGTCGTGGATTCCAAACCTAAGCGGTGCAAAGGTGAAAATGACGAATCGGTGAAAGCAAAAGCAGAACGAAGTTGCAGTGAGAACTCTGGGGACTCTGGCAGCCCCAGGGCTCTCAAAGACTCGAATAACCGAAACAAAATTCTTTCCAAGCAGGACTACATTCATGTGCGAGCTCGACGAGGACAAGCCACCGACAGCCACAGCCTTGCGGAAAGGGTAAAATCCCAGATCCCAAGTTTCCTTCTCGATTCGATTCGATTCATAACCTCAACTATTAGTATTCTGAACTCGTCACACATCTCTGTAGCACTCCCTGACGTGAGTCATCATGTTGTACGCTCCTCAGGTTCGCAGGGAGAAGATCAGCGAGCGGATGAAGTATCTTCAGGACCTAGTTCCTGGCTGCAATAAAGTGACCGGCAAGGCAGTGATGCTCGACGAGATCATCAACTACGTGCAGTCACTTCAGCGCCAGGTCGAGAGCTTGTCGATGAAGCTGGCGTCCGTCAACCCTGGGCCATCCACCGCGCGCCTCGACTACAACTTCGAGACCGCCCTGAACAAGGACATGCTGCAGCCGCGGATGTCTGGTTCTTTGGGTGGACCAGAGTCGAGTGCCACGTTCGGCATGCTGCAGCATCAGCAGCAGCATCCTTCGCAGGGACCCATGATGGGTGGCCACTGCGGCTTGGATTTCCGTTCCATGGGGACCTCGATGGACGGGTACCTACGCCGCTCCAACAGCTCTCCCATCAACGTACAGTCTGGAATCACAAGCTTGGATACCTTCGGCGACGATGTCTCTCAGGTAGGTCACAAATCGTAAGACTGATTACGATGATCAAGTACCTCTAGGCGCATTTTTTGGCGATTGCGTGCTGATCGTCTTCAAGTTTCTGATTCTTCATTGATTGTGAGGTTTTCCTGCAGTCGATCGGATGGGATGGAGAGCTTCAAAGCATTGTGAACCAGATGGGGTTTGCTCCTCAAGGTCGCTATGGATCGGCTGTTCTTGATGGCCACCAATGTAACAATTCATATCCAACTAATAATCAAATTTCTAGCTCTGCTGCAAATCCTTAAATTCTCCAGGTTTTCTTAACTTTGATATGGGCCTCAGCGTTGACAAGGATTTGTGCTTGGATTCTTTGCAGCTCAACTGCCGGTGGGTCACATGAAGGTGGAGATGTGATGGCTCATGATCTGATTGACCGTCTTCACTCACTATTTTTCAACATAATTCAGATTGTTCCAGAAGAGAATTAATCAGCAATGGGCTGATTTTTGAGTGATTTGGACTCAGTGACAAACTTAGCATTGTTACTGTTACATCAGTCGAAGACTCCAACTGTATTAGCACAACAATGAGACACTGCAAGTGATGGCTCCAAATCATGTCATTCTGCAGGACAGCTGTACAAATTTTCAAGTTTCTTCCATGTGTGGTGCGACATCATCGAGTCGCACAAGTTTGATTTAACTTGGACTGCACGACAACCCAGGGTGCTAGTCACGGGAGCTAGGTTCAATCATCATCCTCACTGACATGTTCTTTTTGCCTTGAATGGCTTTTTTTCCATTGCTTTAGTGGCCTTGGATTCGAACCTCTTTCCGAGAGTGGCTTTTTTGCCGTGTTGGTGGTCTGGTGTTCCACACTCAGAGTATTTGTATACTGAAGTCTCTCCCCACCGGAAGAGATACGGATGTAGCCAGTTGATGCCAGAGAGCTACTTGAGTGTAAAATTACTTAAGTGGACATAGTTCTTAACCCGTCGAGCTCTCTGTTTCCTTAATGAGTAGTCAGTTAGCTTTCTTCTAGATAGAGTAGTCAGCCTGTAGTGTATAACCCCCTATTCTCTTCCCAATATGGCGGTGTGTTTGTTTGTCGCCCCTCTACTCTCTGCCACCTATTTCCACTATTAAATGGAAAGAATGTACAGCTCTGTGTGACTAAAGAGTGCACTATCTCTAGATTATCGACTAATTTTGCTTGATTGCCTCATCCTTTCTGTCTGGCAAATGATGCGTACAAAATGTAATCCGTGCAGGTTATCTTTTCGTATTTCCCTTTTCTGTTTCCGCAACAAGGGCTCTGACTGAAATGCAGTGTTTAATCCGATTTGCCTTGGTAATATTGCATCAATAGACCTTTCCTGATGGTGGCTATAATTTAGTTTTAAATGTCTTTTCTACATTTCGCACATAACTTGCTGAAGAACATGAAGAGGTGCGAAGCTTGGCACCCACTCTTTCTAACTCAAGTTCATTGTGCCTTACTGTTGTTTTCATTCACTTCGATGAAACATGGGTTGAATTTTCAAAATGAGAAACACAGAAGACGTATTTCAGGGTACTTTCAATTTGATTGTAGGTCTTCGGAAGAAAATTTGCGCATCAATCTGAGCCCCTTTTTCTCACAGAACTAATGTTTGTAGACGGTTCTTACTATTTACTGACATTTATATCTCATTCGCGAACCTGCTAGCAGCTCAACTTAGACCAACAGAGGTTAGAGCTAGGGTGTCGTGGTTCCGTTTTTAGGGCTGGGATTGAAAGAGCTTGAGGGATTTAGCAGTGGTGACCATAGTACTAGTAGTGAGGGCCGTGCGGACCATCTTGTCGTGGCTGTCCCTACCATCTGAGACAAGAAGAATCTGAGATGAGGGCAATGCACCTCCAACTGCCGTATTTTAGTGCGGGAATCCATGATATCTTATCGGTGCAGGTTTCTACACATTGCATGTTGAGACACTACTGGCATAAGTTCCCAGTTCATATAACATTGACCAAGTTCGAGGGCGACTGGAGTTTTAATAGGTTTAACCTGTTTCAATCAACTCACTGAAATCGAGTGGTGCGGATGAGTTGCCACTTATGTGCACGAATTGACTACTGCTCGATCTCGTGTGCTTCCAGCCTTTTCCATACAGTACTCAAATCCAGTGGACATTCCTGCTGCCATGACTGCATGTCAATCGTCCTCTAACATCATGCGAGAAATAGGAATAGTGGTAATTTACTCGAATTTTCAATTAGTGAAAGGATGAGGGACTCCACTCGAATTTGATACACGAATCCATCGTATGGAACTGATGAAGTTGGACAGAAGGCCAGTTGAGAAGCTTTACCAGCGCCGTGCCCTACTGTCGTCACTGCGGCATCATTCCTAGGTTCTGAATGTTACAAGTCACCGAGTCGGCCAATAATTCCAGAAGAAGGCAGATAAATTTTGTGGGTTCGTGCTCGTGCCTCAAAAAATGCTTCAGATGTGAACCCAGTTCGAGGTCAGATGGTAACAAGCTTGCATTGACATTAGGGGTACAATTACGTACGGGATTCCTTTTGTCTATACAAACTTTCATGGAATCTCTCATAACTGGTTCCTAGACGATTCTCGGTTCATCACCGCGTCAGCACAGCTGCTTCCCAAAAACTCGTCATCACATGGAAAAGGGACCTGCCATGAATCAGAATCTGCGTTACACACTGTATGATTGACCTTATTGCTGCAATCCTTGTGACATAAATATATGAAATTGACAAGGTGTCCTGAACTCGAATTCTGAACTTTGATAATTTCGACGTGTTGGTCGATGATTTTACATCGTTTCTGGCTCCACAGGTCTTTCTTGAACGGATTCATTTCAAATTGAAAGTCTTTGATTCTGGGAGTCAGTTTACGAGCGCTTAACCTTGTCCACCACCAGTTCGCGTAAACTACATGAACGTACCCGAAATTGTCTTTTGAATATTCCTCAACTCGACCTAATGAGGTGGTCGAATCATATCTTTCACTATCATGAATCCGTGTCTTTTTGCCTCTTTAGTGAAAGAGAATCTTCCGTTCTTTGAATGCGTTGAACTGCATTGACCCAGTTGAAGGAGATAAAATGCAAATGCTTCTCTTGAGACCAAAGTGGAAACTCCTGATGGAAATGCTTGTCTGAGCATTCGAAATGGAGTGAAATGCAGTGTCTAAGTTTGAATGGCACAAAATGTCAGCGAAGGACCCCAGTTCCAGGTTCATTTCCTTCAGCAGATATAGTCCTACTCATGAGGTGACCAAGGTCAACACAATCCAAAACTGTAGTAATTTGTAATATGATACTCCATACCAGTGGTTAGAATTGTTTTTTTTTGAATGCTTCAGATTATTGCCAATCTGTTGCATCGAGGACGCTGTAACCACATCTGATTCACATTTTTACTTGTGCAAGTCTCTTCAAAAAACATTTTCTTGTGGTCATTACTGATATTCACAAGGACAGCTTGACAAGATGTTTAGAACCTGAGTGATGTTTATTTTATTTTTGTCACATAGTACAAACTTGTGCATGGAATTAGTCTTCAACTTCTTTTTTGTTTTTGGTTTTTGACACATAGATGTAGAAATTTTCTCCATTCCAATTATGCACCAAAAGAACAAGAAGCAATAACTCATTTTATGTCCTAATATTCTTGTTACAAAGGTGATATAAAGAAGAAAAAAATTAATAATTAAAAATGTAAAATTTATGTATCTATTTTTATTTGGGTATGTATAATTAAGTTGTTTGGGAGACTCTAGTTATTCATCTAATTATACTTCTATCTTTATTTGATATTATGTTTCTTGTTACCCAAGGATAGTCTCATCAATATATTAAATTAATTTTAGAATATTGGTTTTTTTTTGATCTTTTTGTTTATTTATATTTCATAAAAACCACATTTACTTATCAAAGGTTTTCATATGAGTTGTTAAGTGTGCTTGTTTCTCTATATTTACTTTTAAAAAAAATGGCATTTCTTCATATCTATATTATTTATGAAGATGTTCTTTTTAGGAGTAAATATATAGATTTGAACCTTTTTAAATTAAACAATTTTTGTTTCCAAGAGAATGTTTTCAAGACTTTTAATACCATAGACTAATTATTAATTATTATTATTATTTTTAATTGAATTCTATTTTTTTAAGGAAATTTCTAAAAATTTTATATTACTACTTATAAATTTGGAATAAGCTAACTTGATAAGATTTTAGTAAATTCATATTGATTTTTTTATATTAAATTTACAATTTGTATATTAAATTACATATTGATATTTTATATTAAAGTTATAATTTAAAAAGAAATAACATTAATATGATCTTTGCAATAAAAAATTATATGGAATTTGTACAAAATTCTTATAAATTTACTAAAAATAGTATATAATAAAAATAAATTAGAATTAAAGGCTAATAAAGATCATATTTTAATAATATATTTAGAAATTAATTCTAAAAAAAGATGATAAAAAATTAATATATTATATATATGATATATATTGAATAATTTTTCTTGTGCTAAATTGTGTCAATGGTAAATCTAAAAAATATACTTTGAGCCCAAAATTACAATAAAAATAAAAATATAGGATGTTTAAATAGTTTATTCTTTTATGTGATCATTACAAAGTTTTAATCAAGTTGCTAATCACCAAGTTCTTTTAAAATATGAGCAAAAAATATGGCATTGGGTTTTTATTTTTATTTTATTTTAAAAATAAAAAATAAAAATATATAAAGTTTAATTTAAGTTATTGGTTTTGTAGAATTTTTTAATTTATTTTTTAATTTTTTAATAAAAATATCAACTTATATTAAGTAATTTAAAGACCTATATATATATATATATATATATATAAAATAGTAGTATAAATATTTTATAAAAGAATAATATCAAATGCTAGAGCTAATTTGATTTTAATTAATAATAAAGATTTTGCAATGATAAAAATATCTGGAGTGTACAACCAATATAATTGCTAGTACTTGCTTATGTGTAGATTAGGTGAATTTTCTATTTCTATGGCTTCTTATGTAATTATATAAGTAAATATAGAGAGATAAATATTAAAAAATATATGGGTATAAAAAGTTAATATATTTTCTAAAAATATAATAATAGTATATTTATAGGTAAAAAAATAGATTATATTAATATTATAAATAATTTAAAGAAGACCTAGACAATGTTGTATTATAATATGACTACTTATAAGAAGATTAATTATCAATGTTATAAATTTCAAACAATAAAAATACCAATGCATTCTTGTGTCACTCCAAAAGAATAGAAATTGACTCAAAGATAGTAATATATTGAAACTAGAATGGCTATTGCTAAAGACAAAAAGACCAAAGTCTCTTAAAACAAGACTAGCAACAAGAAAGGCATTGATTATAATGAAGAAGGCTTCACTCTTGCTTTCATATATACTATCTAATTAAGAGCCATGTTACAACATTCTATAAGACTTCCACAATGTCTTTAATTTACGAGACATGTGTATAACTTGTAAGATAGGTTTCTTCCATGTACATTACATGGCCAACTTGTACCACAAGTCACTAACATGTGAAACACGTGTCCAACTTATTAGCCAAGTTTCTAACCTATTAATCAATTTCAAACTTATTTTAAATTGAATTTGCATTTATGAAGCTTTTCCATAAGATATCATTAAATTTACCTTCATCTATCTTCTATCAAACAATTATTATTTAAGTAATTATATATGTCCATGACATTAATGAAAATCTAAGACATGCAAAGAAATTTCATGTCAAAGTTTGGTAAAGTTCTTTAATGCCATTATATCTTTAAAAATAATATATATATATATAAACATAAGTTGGAATAAAAAATAAATAAAGTAATTAATTTATATATATACTTTTAAAAAATTAATGATATTTTTTTTAGAATTGATATCTAAAAAAAATCTATATGTAGGATAAGTTTGGGATTTGAATGTAATGTATAAAAACAAGAAACTAGAGAGAATTAATGTTTTTGAAGATTACAAGGTATAGTTAAAAATCTAGCTTTAAGAAAATTCTAAAAATATAAGACTTAAAATAATAAAAAATTTAAAATTATTTATTATTTTTTTAGATTTATTAGAATTTATTAGAATTTTCTTTTAAAATTTTGGATTTAAAATTTATGATTTTTTAGGATTTAGGATTAT